ACTTTTTCGCGATCGAGCACGTTAAAAAGCTCGCACTAAGCACACTGTACTACGTTTGTCAATTCGCGTTATCCACTCAAAAGCATATTTGACTGTATTTTGTGTTCGTTTACCGATTTATCAGTAGTTTTGTTTTAAAGGTCTTATTGTTTAATTCACGTTTTTTCAAATTGAAATCGATTTAAAAAATTTTTAGCCACATGTAGTTTTTGTATTTCAATTAATGTGTAGTCATTATTAAGTTATGTACCTTTTCAAAATTGTTCAGTTGAATCGCATTAGTTACATTAGTAAATTTGGTGTGTGAAATAAAAAAAAACATAATTCTCTAGAGCACTATCACCTTTGGGTCACGGAATATAATACATTTAAATGTAATATAATATAATTACAGAACCATTTTATAAACTTTAAGGCTTATTCGTTTTAATAAAACTTCTAATAAAAAACTCTTATAAAATTTCAAGGAATCCAATTGCTTAAACGATGATGTATGTAAAGAGTTTAGTATTCTAATTAGTGAAAACATCAACAGTAAGCTGATCGAATTGAAACGATAAAAAGTTTCGAGTTTTAGTGATTAGTAAAATAAGTTTATATCGTAAATAGTTTAGTATTCTAATTAGTGAAAACATCAACAGTAAGCTGACCGAATTGGAACGATAAAAAATTTCGAGTTTTAGTGATCAGTGAAATAAGTTTATATCGTAAATAGTTTAGTATTCTAATTAGTGAAAACATCAACAGTAAGCTGACCAAATTGGAACGATAAAAAGTTTCGAGTTTTAGTGATCAGTGAAATAAGTTTATATCGTAAATAGTTTAGTATTCTAATTAGTGAAAACATCAACAATAAGCTGACCAAATTGGAACGATAAAAAGTTTCGAGTTTTAGTGATCAGTGAAATAAGTTTATATCGTAAATAGTTTAGTATTCTAATTAGTGAAAACATCAACAGTAAGCTGACCGAATTGGAACGATAAAAAGTTTCGAGTTTTAGTGATTAGTGAAATAAGTTTATATCGTAAATAGTTTAGTATTCTAATTAGTGAAAACATCAACAGTAAGCTGACCGAATTGAAACGATAAAAAGTTTCGAGTTTTAGTGATCAGTGAAATAAGTTTATATCGTAAATAGTTTAGTATTCTAATTAGTGAAAACATCAGCAGTAAGCTGACCGAATTGAAACGATAACAAATTTCGAGTTTTAGTGATTAGTGTTCCGACTCGAACACAAAATATCGCTTAGGCTTATCTCTAGCGAAAGGCCGATTTTCCTGTGTCCATGTATCACTCTGTTTTCCGAGTAAATAGATGAATAACGTATCGTTAAAAATCGATCGGTAACGTGGAACTTTTTGTTTTAATTCTAGATATGTTGCAAAAATAAATTGAAACAATCTTTTTAGTACTTTTAACAAAGTACATGGATAATAAACCAATGTACGGTAGGCAGCGGTTTGGCTCTGCCCCTGGCATTGCTGAAGTCCATGGGCGACAGTAACCACTCACCATCAGGTGGGCCGTGTGTTCGTCTGTCTACACGGTCAATAAAAAAAAACAAAAAAAACAATATTCCGCGTAATATTGCCTTTCCGTTTTTATGTTGTAAGAGAACGTTTTTTTTTTGCCACACATCACTATTGCACTGAACACTGATTAAAACTGCCCAGAAAGTTGGAATCTCGTTGGAATCAAAATTAGCGAAAGTATCATGTTATTTTTATCAGAGTATTGAAGGTATCCACCGGAATCGATACTAATCGAATTCTAAATCAACTTTTTGAATAGTTGTTTTATTAAGCGTATTTCAGTTTCAGCTTACTATGCTTTATTTTTAATATCGACGCTTAAAAGGCAAACGTGACTAAGCGACAATGCGTGAACTTTACAGTAGACTAATTGAAAGTTGAAATACCTGAAAAAATTTATATTTTAACGAATCTAGCTGTAGGATTGAAATGATTTTAATAGACCTAGAAATATTTTTTTTTTGCGCATCGAATATCGTTATTGCCTATCATTTATGTACAAAGCAGTTATTGTCGCTTAGTCACGTTTGCCTTTCAAGCGTCGAATTATCTTTTAAACCATCATATACTATTAGTTTACAATATGTAATAGTCAATCCAACATTGACATCACCCAGTTTCACTACGAAGTCGTCGCAGCCTAAAGAAGACGTACGATTAAAATTGCGCAGCCAGATTTTTCTTATGTAATACCCACTAAACACAATCTCACGAAGGCTCCTACTATGTATTATTAACGTGTTGTAAAAATCAAAACCCGTGAAAATTATAATTTAGGTAATTCCTTCTCGTGAATCGTTTAGACTACCTACATTTCTAATATCTGTATATTTTCTATTGAGATCGTCTTTATAGATTATTTATATTAAAAGTGATCCCAATACTCTCTTTGGAAAAATACTAAGAACCGACCAAATCGTTTCGAGAGACCACATTAATTATTCGTTGCTTAGATATTTACATTAATTTCTGTAAGCCGCTTTATAAATAAGATATCGGGTAATAAATTTGTAATTCTTTATTCAATTTTTACGAAATTAAATGAATCTAACATCAATAAATAACAAAAGTAAAAAGCAGTCGTAATTTATTAAACTTTACCCCACTACAAAATTTTATAAATTATTTTTGTATGTTCAGTAGATTGATTGTAGAAGCCGATAGATAATCACAGGACTCGCCGATTTTGACTTCTCTGGAAGCAAGCTTGTAGATATATTATTATATATAAATATTACATGCTATAGAATAACCGATACAATATGCTTCATATTCATATAAATTAAGTACAGTTATTGATGTTGCTGACTGCCAATGAAGAGGAAACATCATATTTATAGTCCGTTTCGAATGTTATCAATCCCTCGCAGTATAGTTTTTCCTAGACAATTAGTTGTAGAATGGGATTCGAGTAGCCAGACATGTATAAAATTACATATCTTGCTTACTCGCCATTTTTTAAATCACAGTTAATGTAGGCGAAACTATATTTTCCTAATTTTTTTTTATTGCTTAGTTGGGTGGACGAGCTCACAACCCACCTGGTGTTAAGTGGTTACTGGAGCCCATAGACATCCACAACGTAAATGCGCCACCCACCTTGAGAAATAAGTTCTAAGGTCTCAGTATAGTTTCAACGGCTGTCCCACCCTTCAAACCGAAACGCATTACTGCTTCACGGCAGAAAATAGACAGGGCGGTGGTACCCACCCGCGCGGACTCACAAGAGGTGCTATCACCAGGTAAAACGTATTAAATTTTTTATCGGTGGATGAAGTTGTCTATTGGCATTCGGTAGCCACTTAATATGATTTTACTAGATTTTTGCTAATAGTAGACATAATCAAACTAAGATAAAGCTCATGAGAACCCTTATCTTCTCCATATTCTTGTACGCTTCTGAGACGTGAACCCTCAAGACCCGTACCCGATCGAGAATTGACGCATTTGAAACGTGGTGTTGGCGCAAAATGTTGGGCGTATCATGGACGGAGCGCAGAACAAATGTGTCAATTCTCGAGGAGTAAGCGTCAAGACCCGTCTATCTACAATCTGTACGCAGCGTCTCCTTAAGTACTTCGGACACGTGGCCCGACAAAATCCTGAGAACTTGGAAAAATTAATAGTTGTAGGTCACGTGGAAGGAAAGAGAAGTCGAGGAAGATTGCCAACCCGGTGGACGGACATTATCAAGGAGGCCACAAACACCAGCGTCCCGGGCGCCATTAAGCAGGCCGAATGCAGGCAACATTGGAGGAAGCTGGTGCAAAAACTGGACCAAGGTGGTCACGACCCTCAGTAATGAGGAAACGACAAAATAGAAGAAGAAGAAGACATAATCAAAACTACTTTTACAGCCTAAGCTCGCGCTTGATTAAGCTGTCAAATTAGTTTTAATTGCGCTTTACATCAGATGAATCATGAGACTATACCTGGACCTGGAGCAATATAAAAAGATAAATTTGACATACCTACTTATTTTTGACATGTCGCTTCATATTTTCCTGCAAGTTATGGATTGAGTTCCGCAATATGTCCAAATTTTTTATCGATTTTTTTACATCCAGTTCTTTATATTTTAGGATAACTCACTTAATGCTACAAATAAAAGTAATTTACAAAAAATACACGCTATTCTGTTGCTCCGATATCATATTCCTTGTGACACGGAGAGATACCAAAAATATTAAACCCGTCGTTATACCAAAAAGCGATGACACTATTTTTTTCAAATCATTTACTTACCTTGCACAATTTCATTACAAATATGAGTTGTTTCCCATGCGATCTTTTTCTTGACGTCTTTATCGTTATGAATAGTTATTTACAATTAAAAAAAAAGCTCTATCCCGTATTTCCCGATTACTAAATGTTTTTCTTCTACCTGAACATTAAATGTTTTTAGTACGAAGCGCAATCTTTCTAATTTATTATTTGCTCTACTACATATTACTCAACTAATTATATGTTGTGTATAAAACTTGGCTGCCAATATGTAGAGTGACTACGGTAGCGGTGAGCCTACGAGCTCTGATAAATTCTGTCGCTTCGGTGTCTGCATTGTCGGATGAGAATCACACGTCGTTTATGTCAAGGCTTTTATAATACAGCCCTATTTCTTTCAATAGTAAACGAATAAGAAAATCGGAATAAACAATTATAATACAAAAATACAAATACACAATAAAATATATTGTATCGTCTTAATGGTATTTTGAAAATGTGCCAACTAAAAGTACACGGATATTTGTTAACTAAAAAAAATCACCCCACATTTAACGCTCGGAACCGTTCACAACAAACATACACAGGCATGCCTTCTATTATATAATATTGTTAGCGGCACGCACGAAACAAAAGTGAAATTCTTTCAGTAGTTGACACACGCATTGTTGGTGTTTAGTTTTTTTTAAAGTTTAATAGAATTTATATTTTATTTTTAAGTGGTAAATTAAAATGGACTTACCTTCCTAGGAGGCGGCTGCATGGCGAGTTCTTCGCCGCTTAGGTCGCGTGTATACGAGTCTCGTGAGCTATGTCGGGAATCAATTGAAGTGGAGGCAAGCGTGTCCGCCCTCAGTCGCGTCCCAACTCACTTGGACGGCACTGCGCTAGCCACGCATGCGTACTAAAACTACGGCCATAGACTAAATACTTTATTTAACATTATTTCTCGATATTTCACATCACTAATTAATACTACACTTAAACATCAACATTGTTGCAGCCTTACAAGCCCTAAGATAAGAAAACTGTGTTTTGACAAAGAAAAAAAAAATACACGTGTAAAGAATTTTAGGTTTTTTACACAAACAATCCTGCCATCTAGCGGCCTAAGATTACTTTCTTGGATATAATTATTTTTTTTGTCTCACGGATTAACTTTTGTAGAAATTACGGATTATATGTATGTGTTACCGAAAAGCTTTTCACTAAAACTTAAAACTAAACATATTACAGAGAACTCAGATCAATTCAAATATAAATCTAGTAAATATTCTAGTAAAAATCTAAATAATCTACTGCATCAACAGAACAAGCAATTTTGTAAACTCCAAAAACACCACAAAGTTGAATGGAGTTGCACTTCTGCAGTGCTATTATAAAATCTAGATTTTCCGTTGCCTGAATTTCCCGCACACGTATAAAATTTTCTTATTCGTGTGAGTACTGTAATTCAATAACAACTATTGTTAGTTTAATATTGTTAAATAATGTAAATAAATAGTCTATAAATACTTATTTTGATTCCTTCTGAAATTATCAACAACAAAAAGAATTAAAAGTAGATAATATATTATAATAACATATAGCACTTTATTTTTTTTTTAACTATTCTAATGTTTACTTTAATTAAAGTGTTGCGTTAACAGCGACAATTCACTTTTAGAGTTGTAAACTTTTTTTTTTTTCATTCGACGAGATTTTCCGATATCATATTTAGTAAGAATAATGTATATAATGTAAATAAGAAATTTTAATTGTATATTAATAAAATATAGAAGCATGTATCTAGAACACGATCATCTAATGATCTAGCCGACTATGTAAGCTAGTTAGCGTGACGACAACATAAACCTCATACAACAACCTTATATACCCTTACCTCGCCCTGTCCTTATATATCGCCCTCATCCATTATGTAATTATGTAATTACGTAAGCTAGTTAACGTGATGACAACACAAACCTCATATAACAACTTTATATACCCTTACCTCGCCCTATTCTTATATATCACCCTCATCGATGAGGAGTCAGGTTACACACACCTTATATTATTATCAATACTTGTAACGTTCATTCGTCAAAGCTCACCGTAATTAATAACGGAGCTTAAAATATACAATCTTTGACCTCTATAAATCCAAAGCAACGGATGAAAACATATAAATGAACCGCACACACGAGCCTGAGAACACATATCGTACCACGGTTTGTGTGGTTGTCTTAGCAGTTCAAAATATAAAACATATCAGCATTATAGCTAACGAAGTTTTAGTCAGTAAAAATATTTACATAGCTCCTGCATTATACTCTATAATTCAACATTCCAAACCCGCCCGATGTTACTGATCACTATTATTGTAATTATCATTTAAAAATATCGACGTTGTACTATTTCGAAGCAAAAACTTACGTTTTTTTTCTTCATATCTGCCGATAATTTATTTATTATATTTGCTGCATATTTATCAACAACAACATTAGACTCGCTGGAATTCTAAAGTCGACCTCTTGGAAATCATGTAGGTCTCATATTTCAGGGAGTCAGGTATTCTTTATAAGTGCACATAGTTATAATTGCGTTAGAGGAAATAGAGGAAGTCTGAAAGTGGCACCTGTGACAAGGAAGCTGAGAAGTGCGCGTTTGGGATGGTATGGACATGTGATGAGTCGAAATGAAAATGAGGTTGGTAAAAAAGTGTTAGCTATGAATGTGGAAGGATATAGAGAAAGAGTTAGACCTAAGAAGAAATGGATGAATTGCGTGAAAGATGATATGTGTAAAAGGGGAGTGAGCGAAGAAATGGTACATGATAGAATATTATGGAAGAAGAAAACATGTTGCGCTGGCCCCAGGTGACTGGGAGAAAGGCAGGAGAATGATGATGAGTTATAATTGCGTTAATGAACGTTATCATCCGTTTTAGTTGACAGTCAATCCCGTCTTTACGATGTAAATAGTATTGGCATAGTATCAAATACCCAATAACAAACTAATAGGAAACGAACGCAACAAAAAATATTGTGCCAATTATTTTGTGTGCTGTTCGTTACAATGAAACATTTATTATAAAAGTGCTCCCGCGGTTATTTTACTAATATAACAAAACTTTTATGTGCTCCACAGGATAAATACAAAACGATAGTGCTTGAATAAATAAAAGAAAAGCGAATAAATATTCGATATTATTTCGAGGTATCGCCATTCGGATTTATTATCTCTTTCAATTAGTTCATTCATTGAATCTCGTTCGTGTTACTTTTTTTCAAACATTCGAGAATGTACCCGCAGGTGTCAGGAATACGATTTAGCGAAGTACGTACGTGGATGCTATTATGTGACGAAATATAGCGTTATGTTTTTGCTCTCTTGTCGATCCTTTGAAAGTGGAAACTTGGTATGGTCGCGTCCCTCGGTACGAGTACTATGCTCGATATTATTCACTCGATAATCATTCGCCGAAAGTTGACCAACACTAAAAGTCGACATCGGAAGTTTCGGCATAACGATCGGTCCTTGGCGTTTCAATAATTATTTTAGAAACTAATCCAAATCATCAGTTTATTACTTCTATCCTTAATAACATAAAGACTTTTAAAAAATCGTAGTAAATGCGGAGCGGATCAATTAAAAAAAAACAATTCCAGATCCCAATATTTCAGTTATATATTGTACAACGGAAAACACAAATTGCAATTATTAAAAAATATACGAAGCGACGTCAACATTGCACACGAGTTAAACGCATAAAGTCTCATCTCATAACAAAGAACACAAAAATAAACCTCGTGAATCGGACACGGAAAACTCGCAGTTTCATTTTAATTCCTGATGAGATATGAATGTGTACCATGTAGGATTTTGTTTTTTATTTCGCTTATGATGCAGCGATATTGCATTTACTTTCGTATTTTCCTATTTTTCTGAGGACTGGCAGTAGGGTAATAGCACAATTTAGAGACGAGAATATACTATACTATACTATACTATACTATACTATACTATACTATACTATACTATACTATACTATACTATACTATACTATACTATACTATACTATACTATACTATACTATACTATACTATACTATACTATACTATACTATACTATACTATACTATACTATACTATACTATACTATACTATACTATACTATACTATAAAATATAGTAATATAAAAATTACGTAAATTTAGTGTTTCTGTGTCAGAATAATTATGGTCCGTAGTAGCCTCTGCAAAACCTCTCTGCCGATAGTCCCGTTGGCAGGATGTCAGCGCTTCCCGCAGTTCTAATATCCGGAGGAATTTACTATCTGATCTGGAACTGTTGTGGAAAACATTCCAGATATGAATGCAGTACCTACAAATAGTCAATTCCCGAATATACCTACACTTGCTTAAGATAAAAATTATTTTAGTGTAGTATTACTACTGATCAATTCTCTCACCTAAGAGAACCTTTCGGAGTTTACTTTTCTGGTACACAATAGCTTCTGTAAACATATTAAATTAGAATAACTTACATTTTTCTAGTTACTGATATAATTTCAACACCCACACACTGTTGTCGACCGCCGCCGACTATTTGCAAACAGGAATAACTTCACGCGTTTGATTTCAACTCCATCAGCCGGATAACAAAGGAAGTCATTTCCATTCTTCCTGCGGGACGACAAAAATAGCAACCTCTATGTAGAAATGGAATGGAAATGAATTTTGACGTCACATGCTGCTTTCAAATCAACACAGAGTAAGACTATCTTTTATTTGTTGCTTTAAATCATCATAAGTAAGAATAATATTGTGATCAATATATTGCGTAATTTTTTTATTAAATAATGCATAAATGGGTGAACGAGCTCATGCCGCACATGATCCTGAGTGGTTCGGGAGCCCATAGACATAAGGTACGACGCGAATGCCGTTACCAACTTTAAGAGATGAATTTGAAACCGGAATGTACGCTTCGCGGCTGGGATAGGCACAATTACGGAACGCGCCACTAGTGATTACACAAATTTTATAAACACTCAGGTTTTACTGGTGATAGGACCTCTTGTGAGTCCGCGCGGGTAGGTACTACCACCCTGCCTATTTCTGTCGTGAAGCAGTAATGCGTTTCGGTTAGAAGGGCGGAGCAGCCGTTGTAACTTTACCGAGACCTTAGAACTTATGTCTCAAGGTGGGCGGCGCATTTACGTTGTAGATGTCTATGGGCTCCAGTAACCACTTAACACCAGGTAGGCTGTGAGATCGTCCACCCTTGTAGGCAATAAAAAAAAAAAGTTTTATTTTAATTACAGGATACCGTTCTTTCAGCGTGGGAGTCGTATGTGAAGGTGTCCAAAACGTATTTCCTTAGAAATAATGATAAATGCCTGCTAGATTTGATAAGCACCGTCGCATCGCTCTATGATATGATATATACACCAAGATCATTCCCGATCCTGCGGAAAGAATGGAAAGCAGTCGACGTCGCCCCAAACACGTCATTTCGGATACTCCCGATCCACTAACGTTGCTTTTAGGAAACTCAAACATCGGTGACCGTTCTCGTCGAACCCGTCGCTCGCGACGAAGGGCTCGACGAGTAAATTAACCCTCAGACACAGCCCACTGAGTTTCTCGCCGGATCTTCTCAGTGTGTCGCGTTTCCGATCCGGTGGTAGATTCTGCGAAGCACGGCTCTTGCTAGGGTTCGTGTTAGAGGTTTGAGCCCCGCGAGCTACTAGTTTAAGGTTACGCTGAAATAGCCTCTCAAGGCTATCAGCTTAGGTAGGAAAAAAAAAACACCAAGCATCTTATCCTCTAGGCCACGAAGACTTCGAATAATTATAAATAATCACTACCATTCCGT